TTATTTATTATACTTCTAGCATTACAATAGTAACAATTAAGCATATCCTTATAACTACTTCTATACTCATTTCCTATGCTAAACTCTTCTCTGCCTCTTATTCATTTTGCTTTTAGTTTATCCTGGCTCTCACCACTGTATAGTCCTAGTTTAAAACTTCCCTTACAGCTGAGTTAATAGCTTTAGCAAACAAGCCAGCCCCCTACTCTATTTAAATTTAAACCATCCATTGCAAAAAGCTCCCTTCTCCCATTGAACTGATCCCACAAGTCCAACTAGTCAATCTGCTCATCCTTACATACTAACCTAAGCCTAGCATTTAGCCCTAATGACCTACTTATAACTTCATCCCCACAGTTAATTCTAGGCAGTATCCCTCACAAAATTAATTTATGGCTGTTTTCTTTAAGTGCCTTTATTAACCTCTTATACTTATTAATTAGCTCCTCTGACCTACCTTTCCCTACATCATTATCCCCTACATGCACTACAAAAACTGCATCCCTGCTAGCCCCTTTGTTATATCTCTTGCTCTGTCAGTTATATCCTCCACCTGTGTCCCTGGGTAGCATAATCTGATTCTTTTCTCCCTATTACCCCACAGACTATACTACCCACATGCCTTGTCAAGGAATAACCTGTAACTATGACCTCCTTATCATCCACATCCTTTTCTGACCCTTTTGTTTTTCTTCCCATAGTTCCCCATTTGCAGAAGCCAAGGGTTGAAATTTGTTGCTCAACAGAATAGGCTCATTATAACTAAATTCACCACTTATAGTCCTAACAGTACTTTTTCTAACTTCCTTAAAGTCATTGTTAGCTGATGTATCCAGCTGATACAAAGTTTACAACACTTAGATACATACCAAATATCTGGGAATATTTTTAAGTTCTCTCATTTTTAATAAAATGTTTATGTTAAATTATATCAGTGTGAAAAATACATGAATATTCTTCTATGAATAGACAAGTACACTTAGTTAGATTTTTAGAAATTTATAACATGTAAAAAAAGACAAGATTAGTTAAGGCAATGTTACTTTTCCAATATGATGGTTGGTTAATAAAATGTTTTGCTTTCAGGTGTGGTAAAACCTCCAACATTGAAGGAGTTTAAGAGAAGATTGGGTGGATATCTTAGAGACTAGGGTTAGATAAAGGAAAAGGTGTTTCTATATGTAGCTTGGAATAGGATGGCACAAAAAAATAAGATAGTCTAAATGGACCAAGTGTCCCTTTGTTTTCCCTGGGAAATTAAATAAAAAATTTCCAAGAGTGAAGAAGTCAACTTGTTGGACTAAAAGGACTTCTCTCACATTATCTATTCATATGTTCTTAATCAGATAAACATCTTATACATTCATCATTTGGACACCTTTACTAAATCTAGCAAAATCTTTGAAGCTATGAAGGCATACACTGTCACTTTGCCTATCATTAGATATGATACGTCTTATCAGGATTTATTGCTGCCTAGATAAAATACTAAATTGGATATATAAACCATTACATGCAAGATATTCATAATAATTTTGTATGTCATAATTTTTAAAATAAATAATTTTTAAAGTGAGTGTAGTGTTTCACTATTCTAAGGAACAGTAAAATAAAAAATAATACATAAAGGTAACAATATTAAAAAGAACCAAATTTGGTAATATAATCAATATGCAACTTCAACTGAATTAATGCAAATCCAAAATTAAATTGCTGTGGAAACTAATGGATGTTAGTTTCAAGGATAACATTAAACCATGATCTAGGCACATTACACATAAGTATACACTTTTAGCCTTAAACTTCTTTAGGAACAGATAGTTTTATTAAAGTAGTAAATTATATTAATTCACAAAACTATGAGAGTACATATGTAAGTTATTAGTTTTTCACTTACTCTGTTGAGTCAATATATATATATATATATATATACACACACCAAAAAGATTGTTGAATTACAAAACCAGATACTGAGCTCCAACAAATTCATAACTTCTTTAAATGTCACACTCGTAACTTCCTTCAAATATCACCATATTATCAATATTCTTTTCACGGAATGGGTTATAGGAGTATAAGGAAAAACAAACTGATAGAAAAACATTCAGTTCATTGAGGTCAGCAGTATCCAAAAAAATATAACTTGTAATAAAGATATTAACTTAGTACTTCATTATTCTAAATGAATCAGTTTACACTAAGTTAGTCAGTATTCTAATTTAAGAACCCACTGTGAAATACCAATACTGCTCCAAAAGAAAATCATTACTTGTTAGATGGTACAAATAGGATTAAATTGTACACGTTTTCCATGATATAATGATAAGAAATAAAATTACTAATATAATACGCCAGACAGTACACACTAACACAGAAATCAGGCACCACCAACACCAACACATCATATCTAAATGATAATTTCACAATGATAATACTGAAGATTGCAACTCGAGTGTTCAAGTTGTATTGGTAGTAATGAATACTATTAGTAGTACTACTAATAATAACAATAACTACCATTACTATTAGTAGTTGAGTACGAGTACTGCTTCTCTATCCAGTAAGTTGAGTAATAATATCTTATTTAAGTTATTAGGTTATTCCTAAGCTAACTTGAATTCAAGTTGAAAAGCAGAGCAAAATAAAAACCGTTCATTTACATGTATGTACGTACATGACTTACCTACGAAACTAAATGAATATCTAGGACTTTGTATTGAATGTTTAAATAATTTAGAAGACAAGTGAAAAGAACCAACAAATACTGGCAGTCCCAACCACTGGATTACAACTTGCCATCTCTGCCGAAAAAATGCGTTACTATGACAACACGATTACGCTGACACCACAAAAATTTATTTGCTATTTTCCTTATATAACACAATATACTATCTACAATTAAATAACTCCAGAATAAAAACACGAAAAGTATGCACGCGTAACTTTTGCCTTTGGACTTTTCAGGTGCTACTACTTTTATCAAATAAATTATCGAGTTTTGTAAGTATTAAGTCACAAATCTAATATAATACAAGTCTGCATTCTTAATTCCTTTTCTTCATCAAACCATTTTCTCATATTAAATCCTTAAAGGGATCAATGCGTCTTTAGTAAAGAAAGAATATTGTTAACCTTTCAATTATACATCACAGTAGATTTCTGACAACAGATCTTAATTTATTGTATATTTCTTCGAAATTTATTCATGCTGATATCTTTTTAAGATCAATTACAAAAATTAAAAAGGTTTTGTTTATTTGTTTAAGTCCGCAGACATATTGCTGTGACCTTTTGGCATTGTAGGTATTTAGGTTAGTAATATATTTCATTCACCCTTCGGCGAATGAAATATAACCAGGGGCGGTCAGAAACTTCTGTTTCTCTTCACCCCACTCCAGAATTAGAAATAAGTTTCCGAGGCTTTTTTAGGTATTAAACGCTTACGTGAGTGATGGGGTTGGCTTATAGTTGTTAAACGGGTAATTTTCACATTGGTGAACTCACAAGTTGCGGGAAAAGCTGTAGGGAGACATGGAGAAGAAGAGAAAGACGGAGAGCTTCGCTTGGTTGTTTGTTGGCAGTGGTATTTTTCCTTTTTTCTGTTGTACTTGGCGTTGAATAACAACGCGGCGTCGGGTGTTTGTAGAGCAGAGCAGGGAGATGTAGATTGAGTACGTCCGTGATTAACTGAAATATTAATACTAAACTCATTGTAGAGTTTAGATTAGCGGGTTCAGGCTTTACAGTTTACTGTTTAGATATTGATAGAGAACTATAGAACTAAAGAGTAACATTTACTTTTACTTTTAGACTGGGTTGGTCCTTTTCAGGGCTAGGACCAGAGGATCCAAAGCATAAGGAGAAATTTTGATGTGAGGGAAACTATCGAATAAAATGCTCTGACCGTGCCCAGAGAATGCTGTGGAAAAATGCATGTTGTTAGTTGACATAGGGTACAATCAATGTAGCTGCTGGCGATATTTAAAGGCTAGAACAGGCTTGCCGGGTGAAGAGACGACATCATTCTCGAAATTGCTGGTTCCTGGTTTAGCTGGATTGGGCTATGGCTGATTATTCGTCGGAGTTTGTAGCTAGATTGTACTGGGTGACGTGGGGGCTTCGGTTCTTGTCGTGGCTCTTGTCAGTCTCTTGGTGTCAGTGTCGTTGAGGTCTTTAGTCTGAATTCTTCGGTCTTTCTTGACGATCCTAGTCTGTGTTTCTTGGTGTACAGGTTCGAGGTTGTCTGTATTGAGAAAGAATAAACTAGTTTTATTTAAGAAAGGACTTGTATCGCTGAATTTTCTCGGGAAGAATTTATACCGGAAATTAACAAACGACCAGAGACGTAACAAATTGGTGTCAGAAAGTGAGAACGAGAAGTGGCAAATCAAACTACAGCTTAGCAGATTTGATGACAGCAATACAAGAACAGCAAAAGAAACAAGAAGAGAGATTACAGCAGTTGTTGAAGGAAAAGAAAAGAAACAAGAAGAGAGACAACAGCAGTGGCAAGAAAACCTGCAACAGTGGCAGC